TGTTCTCCCCCTCCCCCCCTCCCACCCCATCACCGGGTCACGACGCTGGGTTCCACGGGGACATGGCGCCCTTTTTTCCGCACAGCTCGGTCGCAGAGAGAGAGAGAGAATGTTTGCAGGTGTTCGGTTTCAGCAGTTTGTATTCAGGTCGCTCCCAGTGAATGTCGCCCAGTCGCCTCGGGCTTTTGCTTGATGTTATCGCGCACATCTCCGCTGGCCACCTGTCTCACCAAGCCATTTGTGTTCCCAGGGGACCTTCTCCCTGATCATCGAGGCGTTCCACGCCGACTCCAAAGACGACCTCTCCACAGGTAGGAAACAAACACATTCTTTTGTTCCACCACGTGTGCATCGAAGCACTTTTTATTTCATTTATATATATATTTATTTTCTTTCTAATCCCCCCCCCCCCCCCCNAAACTCTTTTTTATTCTTATTATTATTTAAAGCCTGTTGATTTATCCCGTCGTTGCTCTTTTGGGACATGAAGGAGAGCAGCAGCTGATGAGAAGAGACAAAAGTCCGCGGTGAGGAGGCAGAAACGTGCTCGATGCATCCTTCTCACAGGGTCTGAAGAGGAGGAGGCACCGTGAGGACCTGCCGACCCCCGCCGACCCCCCACCCACCGTCCTCGACCCTCTCTCTCCGAGACTTTATCTTTCATTTTATTTATTCTTTATTTATTATGTATTTATTTAATATGGGGCGAACCGTCCTGCTGACCCTCGTCGTCATGTCCATGTTGTTGTGCCAGGTAAGACCCCCCCCCCAACCCCTCCTAGTCTCTTTCACGAACTTGCTCTCCATCATCCAAGCTCTGTGTGTGTGTATGTGTGTGTGTGTGTGTGTGGTAGTAAACGCTGCTTTCTGCTCCGCAGGGGTTCTGCTCGGGCGTGTTCGAGCTGAAGTTGCAGGAGTTCCTCAACAAGAAGGGAGTGCAGGGCAACAGGAACTGCTGTAAAGGAGCTCCGGTAACGTCCTACCACCAGCAGCAGCAGCAACAGCAGCAGCAGCAGCAGCAGCAGCAGCAGTGTGACTGTCAAACCTTCTTCAAGATCTGCCTCAAGCACTTCCAGCCCAACGCCTCCCCGGAGCCGCCCTGCACCTACGGAGCCGCCGTGACGCCCATCCTGGGCTCCAACTCCTTCCAGGTCCCCGACGCCATCCCCGAGAGCTCCTTCACCAACCCCATCAGGATCAACTTCGGCTTCACGTGGCCGGTAAGTGTGCCCCCCCTCCCCCCCTCCCACCCCACCACCCGGGCACCCCCCTCGCGTCCCCGGGGACATTCGGTCGCAGAGAGAGAGAGAGAATGTTTGCAGGTGTTCGGTTTCAGCAGTTTGTATTCAGGTCGCTCCCAGTGAATGTCGCCCAGTCGCCTCGGGCTTTTGCTTGATGTTATCGCGCACATCTCCGCTGGCCACCTGTCTCACCAAGCCATTTGTGTTCCCAGGGGACCTTCTCCCTGATCATCGAGGCGTTCCACGCCGACTCCAAAGACGACCTCTCCACAGGTAGGAAACAAACACATTCTTTTGTTCCACCACATGTGCATCGAAGCACTTTTTATTTCATTTATATTTATATATATTTTTTTTTTCTTTCTTTCTAATTTCCCCCCCCACTTCAGAGACCCCGGAGCGCGTCATCAGCACCATGTCCACCCAGAGGCACCTGACGGTGGGAGACGAGTGGTCCCAGGACCTGCACACGGGCGGCAGGACCGAGCTCAAGTACTCGTACCGGTTCGTGTGCGACGAGCACTACTACGGGGACGGCTGCTCGGTGTTCTGCCGACCCAGAGACGACGCGTTCGGCCACTTCACGTGTGGAGAGCGCGGAGAGATTGTGTGCGACGCCGGCTGGAAAGGACAGTACTGCACGGAACGTGAGTGGAACGGAGTTTTTATTATCATTATTATTATTATTATTATTTTATGATAGAAACTTGTGCGTAAAAGTTTGACGGTGAATGTGGAAAAACGTGTGAATATGAGTCGTAAAAAAGTCCAGACATTTGGGTCCGAACAGCAGAACTCGACTCCAAAACCCTGTTATCATCGATAAACTCATCATTAATCACAGGGTCTGGTCTGTAACCTGCTCCTCTGAGTGCCGTTAGAAAGCAAGTTGTGCGTAAACAGCACACGC